CCCAGCCTGGGGCTGGCTCGACCGGGCACGGTCCCCGCGTCCAGGCGCGCTCCTTTCTGCGTCCGAACCCGGCCCGCCCCGCCCCTCGTTGGGCGCGGGCCCGTCCTCCTCCCGCTAACGGGCGGGCCGGCCGCCTCCGTCATCTCCGGGCCGTCGGCAGGGCTCTTTCCCTCCTCTGCTGCCCTCGGGCAGGGCTGCGCCCTTCTATGGGCAGAACCCCATCCCCTCTTGCCCGCTGGTGGGTGGCCGTGTGCCCCAGCCTCCCCGGAGGCCATTCCTGTTCCCTGAGGTCTGGGCCGCAGCAGTTACGTGTGCTCGGGGACCCTCCCCGCCAGCCCCGGGGATGCGGGCGGCCTTGGAGCTACCCCGCTGTCCCTGTCACCCTGCCCTGACCGCCGCTCCTCCCTCTCCATCTATTGGTTCTCCACGGTAGCTATTCTGCCGGGAACGCCCCTTCACCTAGGACACTGTTGCCCGGGCACCGCCCCGAATATCCCTCCATCTCCCTGCGCGGGTTCCCGCCCCTGGGGGGCCCACTTGGGGCCTAGCGGTTCTCACCTTCTTCGCACGCCAGCCAGCCCTCAGGTTTAACCCCTGGTAGCCATCGACCCGCTCTACTTCCCGGGTGGGGCTTGGGCATGCTGGTCGTCGTCCCCCTTTCAGTGACGCGCCCCCTCACTGTCAGGCCGCGCCCTCCACCTGCCTCCTGGCAGCGCACTCGGCACCCCGCAAGTCGCTCAGCCTCTCCTGTCTTCCCCCCTCCCCACTTTGGCAGGACAGTTGCTGTGCGACTTGGACAGTAGAGGAGCGCCTCCCAAGTTTTCATCCAACTGCCACCCCCAAAGCTTCCACCCTCCTCCCCTCAGAGACAGGACGTTTGATGCCTCGTCCTTGAGATTCTCATTGGCAAGCCCCTCTGAGTCCCCCTGACCAGAGCCTGCCGACCCAATTGCCCACCTTTGCGGTTTTGATGCTTAGCCATGTCTGCCTCATCCTCAGGCGGCTCCCCCAGGTACAGCCAATGTGGGGGGCGCCTTTGCAGTAGGGCAGGGAAAAATGGTCAGGGCTCCCCAGGTCAGGCTCAATGGAAACTTCTTTTCAGTTTCCCAGGTACTGAAAGTCTGGACCAAAAACGCTTATAAGTGACTTTGAATAGCGAGGAGTAAAGACACACCTGCTTACCCCCAGCTTTAACTCTCCCCCCACCTAAGACACCACAGCTTTCTAGTAGCAAACAAGATCACTCTTGTCTTAACGGAGTATTAAGGTCTGACTTCAGCTTGGCTCAGATCACTAGGCAACCAAGGTTGTCTTTAAACTCTTGATTCTCCTGCCTCTACCTTCCATGTGGTGTCTTGAAAGCATTTCCCACCATGCCACTTCTAAACTAGTGTCTCTTAAGTGAGCAGAAATGTTACAAGTAAGTAGAAGGGGGAGGGGAATCGAGTTCCTAGTTTGGACAGTCTTCCAAATGACAGTCCGGCTCAGTACATAATTTGTAAGTGAGCTGAGCAAAATGCACACTGTGGTGCTGTTCTTTTCATGGTTTAGTATTTCCCCCACGGGTTTGTGAGGCCAGCAACAGGCTGTTTGGGGACTGTGAGGAGACAGTGGGATCTTAGATTTGATCATTCCAAGCCCATCTCCCCCAGCGTGGAATTGTTGGTTGGCCTGCTCATTCTGGAGCGTGTTTGCTGTCGTTGCACATCTCGCATTGAGCTGTGGGTGTGCAGGGAAAGCTCCTGTAGGGCAGGGGGTGGACTGCACCAGACGGGGTTCTTCATGTGCTCAGGGTGGGGAGTAAGCCTTTGTTTTGTACCCTTGAGTCACACTGACTTTGCGCCTGCGTGGAGTGCACTCGAGGTCTCTTAGCTTAAATTAACCTATGATCCAGACACTGACCTGGGGATTATCACTCTTGTTTGAGACTAGTACTTTGGCAACTTTTTTTTTTGGTCACCTGTTAGGATGACAGGTAGGCTTTAGCACAAGGTCACAATACATGTGATGCGATGCAGGTTAAAAGGGCAGACCAGCAGACCCCCTCACCTTGTTTCCATCCTATTGCTGGGCACACCATGCGTGCCTTGTGCTCGTCTACAAGGAGTCAAGGGATTTGAGACTGGTTCTCCCGGCTGCCAGCGCAATAGCCGCCACATGCAATGTACCTTCTCCTAAGAGCCGAGACATAGAAGAACCCTGGTTTTCTGCTCATAATCTGGTTCTTGTGCCTGGTACAGGTTTCCATCGTGTGGGAAGAACGGAGTAACGAGTCTCACACAGAAAAAAGTCTTGAGAACACCCTGTGGCGCACCAAGTGTAACTGTGACGGTAGGTAACCCTGGCAACATTACCGTCAGAATGCTGCTGCAAGCCTTGGCTGGGGGCTGCCAAGACTGTCACGACCCAGGTGCTTTGGATAGAACTGTCAAACATGGCCTGCTTGCTGATGAAAGGGCCAGGTGTGAGGAGGTTGTCTCCATATCCTTCCAGGAAAATCCCAGCATCTTTAGGACAAATGTGTTAAAAAAGGAGAAAGAAAATAAATAAATAAAAAGAATGAGGGAAGATGGAATAGGAGCTGCTGGTGGCAAGGTACCTGTACCTGGGGTACAATATGACCTTGCTCATGTTTTTTTTTAGAGTCTACACAACCTTCTCATCCTTGGCATTCCCACTAGCCGCCTTTGCCCTAGTATCTCACTTGCATGTGTCCTGATTTAGTCTATCCCTTAACCGTTTTGTGTGCTTCCCGTGCTAATTTGCATGCATGGTTGAAAGATTCAGCTTTGCAGCTGTCCAGCGCAGTAGGCTTGTGTGGAATTGCAGCTCTGAGGAGCCCCTGCCGCCTGCCTTTGGGCTTTTAGAGAACCCTGTTCTCAGTGGACCTGGAGGCCTTCAATGGACCTCTGTGGAGTCTGCCTAAGTGACATTCCTGCCTTGCTTCCTGCCTGCATGCCAGTAGTTGGTAGCTGTCCTGCTCACTTGGTGGCTGTGTTTTCAGGTGTCCCAGAAGCCTCTGGGCTTTGTTTTCATGTCCAGTTTACTTATCCACAGATCAGCCTTTTTTGTGTTGCCCTCCCCCGCCTGCCAGAGGTGAATTATGAAGGACCGGTCTTCAACGCCCCCCTTACATGTTCATGTGGATGAGAACACTCCTGTCCACGTCCACATAAAAAAACTCCCGAAACCATCAGCAGCCAGCAGCCAGGTAGGAACATGGCAGTGGGGCGAGGTCACAGCTGCGGATCAGGGCACTGTCTCCTGTCCCAGCAACCTCCTCACACTTCTGACTCCAAAGGTTTGGGAGACACTCAGACTTCTCTGGAGGTCACTTGCCTGCTTAGAAGGTAGGCCATTGTTCAGCAGCCACAGTAAAGTCACCCAGAAGAGGCACCCCTGCAGAGGTGGTGTGTACCACCAAGGTGACACTATGCAGCTGGGCCTGCTGGAAATGACTCTAGTTTTTCTCTTTCCATAGAAATCTCATAAGCGCGGAATGAAAGGGGACACCGTGAATGTACGGCGGAGTGTCCGGGTGAAAACCAAGGTACCTTGGATGCCCCCTGGAAAATCATCTGCCCGGCATGTGGGATGCAAGTGGGAGGTAGGCTCAGTCTTGTTCAGGCTTCTCTTCTTGGACTGGTCAGTCAGATTCTAGCAAGCCTCAGACTTGGTATGATTGCAGAAATTCCAGCAAGCTTACTGAGTGCCTTACTGAACCCTGACAGTGTGCAGCACTACGTAGGTCCTTGCAGCATTGCTGTGTGGTAGGTCCTGCTGATCTAGCATAGAGGGGAAACAGTTGGGAACCGACTTCCCTGGGGTCTTAGAGAGCAGCAGAGCTGGTCTTAGGACTCATTTTGGAGTCTCATTTTGGAGACTGAATTCAGCCTCTGCTTTGCCAAATAGATTTACGCATCTGTCATAGTATCTGAAGTATAATTTTTTTTTAAAAAATTTTTTATGATTTATTTATCTTTTATTTTATGTGCATTGGTGTGAAGGTGTCAGATCCCCTGGAACTGGATTTTCAGACAGTTGTGAGCTGCCATGTGGGTGCTGGGAATTGAACCCCGGTCCTCTGGAAGAGCAGTCAGTGCTCTTAACCGCTGAGCCATTTCTCCAGCCCTATCTGAAGTATAATTAAAGCTAAGGTTGGGTATGTGTGCAAGTGTACATATACCAGTATATATAATAGCCAAGAACATGTGGCCATATGGATGATGCAAGCATGTCATCCACACTGCTTGTAGAACAGTCTCTGGGGGAAAAATGAATTGCCTTCATTATTAGTAGCCAAGAGAATATGTGTCCTATACCTTAACAGTGTTTGTCCAAGTACCTGCTCAACTACCTACCCACTCTTCCAACCATCCAACCATCCATCTACCCACTCATCCATCCATCCACTTAACTCCCAACCGCAGCCATCCGTCCACTACCACCCCTACTCAGTCATCTAGCCAACAATTCATACACAGTACATTCTCTGAGGCTCCTACCAGGCGTTGCCAGCACAGGGGTTCTAGCTATAAGCCTGGCAAGACATGCTTTTTTATTCATTTTAAGTGCATTGTGGTGAAGAAGTCTATGATAAGAAAAGGCTAAAAAGCTTTTGGCTATGTTTTGAACAACACTCTCATTATCAGAACAATGCTCAGCGGGCTCGGTGTGGTGCTCACATCTTTAATCCCAACACTCAGCACTTGGGAGGCAGAGCCAGGCTGATCTCTGAGGCCAGCCTTGTCTACATAGTAAGTTCCAGGCCAGCCAGAGCCACATGGCAAGACCTTGTTTCAAACATAACAAAACATGATCTTTTAGAGTTAGTCTTATTTTTATAGGTTGTTTCTCTGAAAATGAGAAATCCAAAAATGGATGTAATTCTGACATTCATGATCACATCACATGGATTTGATTCTTTGTCAGTTTATCCTTAGCAGACGAGAGGAATCTGGGTATCCTCAGCAATGCATGGGAAGTGTTAAGAATAGTATAACAACACAAGGCAGATGGGCATTTCTAGCTGAGGGTGTGGCTAAATGGTAGAGTGCATACTTAACATGTTTGAGGCTCTTGTAAAAGTTACCGGTGGTCACCCAAAAGAAGGTTGAAATAAAAAATGGTCCCTTAGGGCTGGAGAGATGGCTCAGTGATTAAGAGCACTGCTTGTTCTTCCAAAGGTCCTGAGTTCAATTCCCAGCAACCACATGGTGGCTCACAGCTATCTGTAGTGAGATCTGGTGCCCTCTTCTGGCCTGCAGGCATACATGCAGACAGAATACTGAGAATACTGTGTATATATAATAATAATTAAAAAATGGTCCCTTAATATTGTTTTACTACCTCAGTAGTAACCATTGAAAAGTAAATTTGAAACACAGAGAAGTGCCAGGTGTGGTCAGTGTCTGTAATCCAGAACTTAGGAGGCTGAAACAGGAGGACTGATTAGAGTTAAGAGGCCAGCTGGGACTTAGTGAGGCCTTGTCTCAAAATCAATCCATAAATAAATTGGAACAAACATAGCACGGTATCATTTGTATTGTTGGGTAGGGAGTTTAAGGTACTGGAGAGACAGCTCATTGGTTAAGATCATTGACTGCTCTGTATACAATATTCTGTCTATGTGTATGCCTTCAGGCCAGAAGAGGGCACCAGATCTCATTACAGATGGTTGTGAGCCA